CACTTTTTTTCGAACTAATAAAAAAAAGGTATATTTACCTGGTAATTCTGGACAAAAAAAAAAGGTAATTGGTCAACAACGAAATGGTCAACAGAAAAAAGACCTTGACCATGACCATCAATATTATGTTTTTATTTTAGTTTGAACCTAGCTTAGCTTTCGGCTATATCTTGTCTTGTCCAGTCCGGTCTTGTTTTTAACTTGATGATGATGATGATAAGTGTAATTGAAAGAAAGAAGAAACGAAATAAAAAGTGTTTCGTTTGAATTCGCTGAAGAAAAAAAAATATCAAAAATCAAGATTCAAATAAACCTTTAGGGCCAGCCAGAAATTTTCCAAAAAAAAAACAAAATCAAAAATAACGGAGGCAATAAAAAAAATATAGCGAATTTTGATAAGAAAACCGACTTTTTTCAACCCTCCGTTTATCTATAACGGTTTTGACCAAAAAAAGGGTTTTTTTTGTTAATTTCCAAAATTTATTAATTAGAAATCAAAGGTAAAAAGCAAAATCAAGTTTAAACATCATCATCATATCGTTTTATCAACTTTGACCTTTCTCTCTTTCTCTTTTCTCTTTCTTTAAATTCATTCTTCTTATTCATTTCACCGTTATAATTAAGCCAATTTCGGTTTTTTTAATCACCCCCTCTAGTTTCTCCCCCTGTTCTCCTCCTACATTTTGAGTGAAAACGTTATATATATTTTGGACACGACCATTAAGGTGGTTTCCAAATGGTTAGCAAGGTCCTAGGGAACTTTTTTTTTTTAGTCAACCAAGAAAAAAAACAACCCCAAAAAAAACTAAGAGAAAATCTAACCCCCACCAACACCACCAACGACAAATGAAAAAAAAAAGGAAAAGCCCTTAAAGATACACAGAGAAAGAGAGAGAATACAGGGTGAAGAACAGTCGAAAAAACTGATGTAGAAATTTTTAAAGAAAAAATATTTTTTTGGTTTGGTTTTGGTTTGTTAGGTCTCCCTTATTTCAATTCATTCATTCAATTCAAGTCACAAAATATTGACCTCTCTGACCGTTTTTCTCTATGTGGTATGGATTTTCTTTTCATTCACCGTTTTGATAAAATAAAGATTTGCAATACATCCAATCGACAACGACATCAACGAACAACAACAACAAAATAAAAAACTTGACCAAAAACTAGTCAATTTTTTTTCGGAAACATTCATTTTTTTCAATTCTAAATTCTGATTATCATCATCATTTGATTGATAAAAACGAAATTATTACGAATGTTCAGTGTTTTTGTGTGTGTGTGTGTGTGTAGCCAGCCAAGTTTTGAATCAAAGAAATCAAGTTTATTTTCAAACAAAACTACCACCAACCAACCATTCATTCATTCATTCATTCACTCATATGACATTGAACTTGGTTGTTATTTTTTTTTCTTTCTTTTCAATACCTTTTTTTCATTAATACCTGTAATGAGATTGTAATAAACATTCCTTTCGTTCGTTTGTTCATTTACTTTGTATTTAATTTACATCAACAAACAGTGAAATTATCATCATCATTTGATGACGTGACAAAAGCAAAAACAAAAAATTTGTGAAATTTTTTAAAAAACAAAAATTATCGATCGATCGATTGATTGATTGATTCTTTTCGATTTTTGATTGCATCATCTTTTGTAAATCCCGAAGATTAAAAGTAAGTAGCTGATTTTTTTGATGCATGTTTTTTCGGGAAATTTTTCCAGAAACAAAAAAACAATTTTGAATTTTTTAAATGGAACCATTTTTGTTTCCAAAAAAAAACTTTTTACTTTTGATCATCATCATCATCATCAATGGATAATGGTTTTGGAAACAAACAAAAAAAATCAATTCCTAATGACCATTATCAAAGGAAGTTTGTCATCACTGTTGTCGATAATGTTTTCGAAAACATTTTTCCAGTTCGTTGAATATAATTTTTTCCAGCAAATTTCTCAAACTTTTATTTTTAAAACAATCAAAAAACGAAACCAAATATTTATTAATTGAACCGGAAGAAAAAAAAATATCCAAAAAGTTGTATTCTCCTGATTCTCCTTTTTGAAATCTTGAATGTTGTTTTCGTTTTGATCCATTTTTTAAAGATTGTTTTTTGCTTTTCTGTATCATTCAAATATTTGTTATTTGAAATGTTATTGACCGCTTGTTTGTTTGTTGTTTGATTATAATCGATTCATTTTCACTATTTTTTTTGAAAAAAATATACATAAAATGTGTGTGTGTGTGTTATATGCATATAAAAAAATTGTCGTCATCATAACTTGTTTATCAAGCTTATTATTTTTCCCCCCTCACCATCTCCTCATTGGAAATAATGATAACTTTTTTCTTTTTCTCAATGCTTTACATGATGTTATTCTTTTGTATCTGGTTTTGGTTTTTTTTCTGTTGTTTGAATACATTTTTTTTCCATGTTTCAATGTTTCTATTTCTATACTTTATCTTGGTGATGATTAAGAAATGACGATCATCAAGGAAGAAAAAGAAATGAAAAAGTTTGATTTTCTTTCCACCATTTTCAGCAGCAGATAATAATGACAATTGATTGATATTTTGTGTTTATTTCCTCGCTCTCTCTCTCTCTCTTGCCCGAAGAAGTTGAAGAAAAATAGGAAGAAGAAAATGATGAATAATCATCATCCATACAGGTAGATAGGATAGGTGTACCAGTCGGTAACAATTCTCCATGACCTCTATTAATATTTTTTTGATGATGATGATGCTTGAAAACTTGCTTTAAATCATTGCCAATATGAATAGAGAGAAAGAAAACCAGAAGAGAGAGAAAACCAGAAATCGAAACCTCGCCTTTTAACCCCTTGTTCATTTCATCATTTTATTGTTTCTTTCCTTCTCTCTCTCTGATTCTGATCCAAAAAAAGTTAAAACAGAACCAGCCTATTGTTATTCATCATTGATGATAGAATTCATTTCCTGATTCGTGGATTCCCTTTTTTATATATTGGTAAAACAATTTTCCTTCCATCATCATCATATAACGGTGAAATGGTGAAATTTACCTAAAACTGGTTACGAAATTTTGGCGAGAGTTTTTTTTACATTTAATAATGAAATAAAAATTCATATCCTGATTATTATGATGATGATAATGATAGTTTGATTATCGTAACAGTCAGTACTAGGCACCAATTCAAAGGTTGATTGATTGGTTAAAGGATTTGTTTCATTTCATCTCTCTCTCTTAACCCTCGGTTAATCATCTTTTTTCTTATTATCAGAATGATTTTCCCGGAAAATTTCTTTCATCGTTTCGATTTTTTTGGTTTTCTCTCTCTCTCTCTCTTTTCGTTCTCATTATTTGATTTTTGCCAAATCAAATCAATCAATCAATAATTTCCATTACGAATAAGTTTTTCAATTGGCTGTTTTAATTACACATAATCTTTGATCTTTGATTAAATCAATGCAATCAGTTTGGAAAAATCCTTCAACATTGATAATGACATTGAAAAATTTTTTACACATCCAGACATTGAGATTACGTAGAAAAAACGATGCAAAATTCATCAACAAACAAAAAAATGATGGTAAATGTCGTTGTACCTTCACTGGGTGAGAGAGATGGATGGATGAAAAAAATTCAAGTTCATTCATATCAGGAAAACACCTGGAAAAGTAGTGTAGCATCATTATCATCAACATCATCAAGGAAGAATTATATAACCAATAAAAATTTACCACTACTACTACTACTACTGCCTAGTGCAATGATTTAATTGCAAATGATTCAATTACAATGTTTTTTTCTTTCTGGTTTTCTGGTTTAATGAATATATGTTCTTCCTAGTTTGAATTCTTCTTATTCAATCAACAGCAACAAGTTGTTACCCGAAAAAAAAATTTAAAAAAAAATATTGCAGGTAGTGTCATGAACAGGGAGCCAGTAGAATAATTTTCGATTTTCGATTTTTACCTGTTCATTTTCTCTTATCTGCAATCTTTTTTTTTGTGAATACCTGTTGTTTTTTGTCCTGGTGAAAAAAAAAGGTGAATCTTTGTAAGACTCTCGATCTCTTTTTTCTCCATTCTCTTACTACCCTCTCTCTCTCTCTTTCTCTCTCATCTGAGTAGGTGGAATCAAGGTTGGTGAAACCAAAAAAAAACCAGTTCAAATGATAATGTCCGCTTTGTAAATGATAATGATGATGATGGGTTGTTTTTTTCATTTCGCATTTTACCTTTTTCTTCTACTTTTTTTTCCTAGCTATTCATTTCTGGTTTGCAAAGTTGCAAGGTTGCAACCGAATAAAAAAAATGAAATGAAATAACCGACCACTACGACCATTGGCGACGACGCCGGGCGCCATATAACATTTTGAACAACAACAAATTCAAAAAAAGAGAGAAAAAACAACACTAAACATATTCAAGGAAGATTCTCAAATAGTAACAGTTTTCAATTTTTTTTCTTGTTTCTGGTTTTTTTTCAAAAAAAAAGATTCGGGTATGATTTTCATTGGGGTAGTTTTTTGATTCAAGTTGGTTGTGGCCATTCACACAAGTCATTCAGTCAGTCAGTCAGTCGCTCTTTTTTTTGTTTTCGTTCTTCTGGTGATGATTTTTATTCATAGTGGTCGGTTTGGATCATCATCATCGTTTCGGGTTTTTTCTTCGTTTTTTTTATTAACGGACTATCCATTCGGACAACCAACCAACCAGCTAGCCAAAAAAAAAAACAAAAATCATTCAAGTTTTAGCAATCAACCAAACAATATCACATATGTGTTGTGTGTTAACCGATCAAAAACATTTTTTCAATAAAAATGAAATGAAATTTTTGTAATTTAATTAAATCAAACTAATTAATTGATTGATTTGTGTTATTTTTGTTTTCTTTGTTTTTTTAACCCTTCAACACCATCATCATCCACATCATTATTCGAATAATGTCAATGAAAAGAAGAAGAAGAAGAAGAAAAAAATGATGTGATTATTTTGTGTGTGTTTTAATACTTTCTTCAATTTTGAAATTTTTTTACGAAATATTTTTCCTATTGAAACGAATTTTGAAACAAAACAAAACGAAAAAAAATGGAAGATGCTAATACAAACAGTGTTTGGAATTTGAATCAAATATTGGAAAAAGATTTTGATCAACTTTCAATATATAAAGTATCGGATCAACCATGTGATGATAATAATGATAGTAATAATGACCAGGATAATCAAGAATCATCATCAACAACCGGAAAAAATAATAAACAACAAAAATTAACAAAAGCTGAACAAAGTTTACCAAGAAATTTAATATTAAAACCATCAAAAACAATTAAAGATGTAAGTAAATTATTTTTAAAAAAAGAACATAATCATTATCAATCATGTTTGTGAGGGAAAGAGAGAGAGAGAGAAAGTAATAATAAATTGAATAAGCATAATTTGAATTTGTAATCAATCGATCGATCGATCGATCGATCGATAAATCCAATGACCAGACATCAATATTGAAGAATCTAATCTAGATTTTTTTTTTTTGGCTTCTGCTGTTTGTCATTGCCGTTATTATTGTTTATCACATCATTTTTTTTTGTCTGTATTTTTAGATATCTGTGTGTGTGTGTATGTGTATGTTAAACACACGTATCAATATAATTCAGACAAACTAAATCAGTTTCATTAAGTGCAACAAGAGAGAGAAAGTAAATTTGTCAATTTACACAAGTCAGACATTAGTAAAAAATATTGTATTTTAATTTCGCAGACATCAGGCAACAAATTCGATAATCATCATCATCAATAATAAAAAGGGAAATTGATTGAATTGAATTCGGCAAAATCTTTTTTGTTGAATTTTTTTTTTTGATTTTGTTGGAAACAATTCAACAAACATCAACAAAAAAAACCAGTGAGGAACAAAAAAATTGATGAATATGCAAATTTTTTTTTCAAAAAAAAACCAGCAGACGATTTTTTTACGAATATAAATGTAAAAGCTGAGGAATGAAA